AAAAAAAAAAGCGAGAGAAAGAGAGAGGCACAAAGAGGAAGAAGGGACCATCCGTGACTGGCATTTCTAGCTCCCCGGGCTCCGCTACCAGGAGCCATGGCAACCAGGCCCCCGGCCTGCCCTCTCGCCCCCTCGGCGCTCTGGTGAGGTGGAGTTCTAGCCCCTCTCTGGTTTTTCGTGCCCCCCAACCCCACAACCCCGCGGTTCATTGATTCCCCTCTTCCAGGCTGGCGGCATTTTCGGATCCCCCCTGGGATCTAGACTCCTCTCCTGAGAGTAGGAGCCAGACAGGGGCAGTGGATTGGGAGGGGAACTGAGCTCCACACACTAGGAGGTGTCTGGGGCGTGAGGGGCGTGGTGGGAGAGGCCGAGACTGACCCCCAAACTAGCTAGACCTCGGATCCCCACCCGAGAGAGGACGGGAATCTACAGTGGGATCTGGAATCCTCTTCAGAGAATAGCGAGGGATGGAGTGGGAGACGCTGGAAATAAGAGGGTCAACCTACCGGCGACCAGCGGGAGTGAGTGGGACCTGGCGGATTCGGGGACCCGTTGTGCTCCGTCCGACTGACCCCGAGCAGTCTGAATCCAGCCTCGGCCACCCGGGGGCGGGGCTTGAAAAGGGGGTGTCTCTTCCCGGGTGAATGCTGAGGGACCTCGGACCACCCCCGCTTCAGACAAGGAGCCCTGACTGCGCACCATTTCCTTTCCATAACGGGTTGACCCCCTCCTCCCGGGAGCAAACCCTTAACCCTTCCTCCATGGGAGACCCCCCAGGGCTGGCACAAGAGATGCAAATTGACCCCCACCCCTGACACACCTGCGTCGCTTCCAGCACGAGATCTGTCCGGTACCTCCCCTCGGGCAACTTCTCCCCCAAACTGGCTGGGAGCTGGGACAGGGACGGGCAGGGTCCAGTAAGCTCTGGGCGGATCCAAGGGAGTTTCTTGCCGGCCGCTCCCCGCTGGTCCGCACCCGGGACTGCCCACGGAGGTCCCGCCTGTCCCCTCCCGCTGCTGGCGCTGGCCGCGGGAAGGCTGGACCTGTTCTGGCTTGCACCGAGATCCACGCCCTCCTGCCAGAGGCTGGCTCTCGCCTCTCCTCCCTTCCTCGATTCTGCGCCGCCACCCCTCACCCACGCCGCTTATTTTCCTTCCCTTTGCACACTCCCATGGGATAGGGAGAGTTACAGGCTTAAGACTTTATCTCATTGTGGAAAGCAAGAGACCAAACCAAAAACTTTGGTCGTGCTTTTCAACATCTCTGGTCAAAAGAGGTAGGATCTCCGCTTGTTTATCTGCAAAAGCGACATTTAAAAGAAATGCCCCCCCCCC